AAATAAATAGTAAATCTCATGCTAAGTTTTTCTTTAAACATAATACAATAAGGTTTTTAAAAAATCTCAACTGGAAAATTTCTACAGTGTGGTACACCATACCATCTGTACACAAGAGTACGGAATAGGCATGGACCATTACTGAGTAACTTAGGAAAGGTCACATGACCTTGCCTGGACTGTATAGTTGACAGCTGATGCTGTATCCAATCCATGTCACCCTTGAAAACATCTCCAGTCCAAGGGTTCTTGGTGATCTGTAACCCCTTCCCTCTGCCCCCAGGACAAAGAATATTTTGGCAAAAAATCATAGACTAGGCCTGTCTCAGTGCTGCGCTGCTGCAACCCCAAGTTATTCTTCCCACCACAGCTCCGGCTCCTGTGCTTTCCGACTGTGGCAGCTGCGCCACTGCCTCCACTCCTGCCAGGGCTTCAGGTGCCCAGCGTCCTGCCCACTGTCCTCCCCCTGCTCTCCCAGGCTTGTCCTTCTCTTTAGTGTCTGTCATGTGACTGGCCATTCAGACACTGCAGGCCACAGGGCTCCTTTCCTTCTGCTCAGTGCAGCTGGTCGTGGCTGGGCAGGAGCCTGGTGTCTGTACTGTAGGTTATTTTGGCCTCTCAGTACCAGCATTTGATGCTCAAAGCTTCCTCGACTGCTGCCAGACACCCACCCTCCCCTTGCCTTTAAATGCTATAATTGGCATTCTAGATGCTTGCAGGAGCTGGAAATCTTGAATTTGTAAAACTTAAGGTATTTTTGTAGTCGTCTGACAATGACATTTGTAGAAGACAGACCTGTTTAAGTATGACCACAGACTTTAAAGCCCGATTTTCAATATTCTTCAACGCAGAGGCCACCCCACTACAGGAAAACAGGCTCTGCAGTTTCCATGCAAGCAACCACGTTTTCATCAGGGTTCCCAAGGGCCTGGCCAGGTAGACCCCATTATTAACACTCAGTTTGTGCATCACTTTCACTTTCCATTCCCAAATGAAACGCTCTGTGATTATGATTAAGGCTGGGCAGTGTGCAGTCTACTCCCTCCCCCAATCAGCTGCAAGGTCTCTAGGAATTCTGGGTCTTCTGAATGGCCACCTTTAAAAGAAACCAGTAGGAAGGCAGTCTCGGCACCACAGGCTCCAGCTTCACTCACTCTCATGAGCAGGTAGACAAGGAGGGCAGCAGTGACACCTGCGGCCACTTCTACATCTACCATGTCGACTGTTGTCACCTGACTGCTCCTGACAGTGGCTGATACAAACTTGCTTAGCAGTAGATTTTGAGGAAATAAGGCCCCCAGACAAATCTCAGCTGGAAAACATGAAGCCAGAATCAAGGGTGGGTTCTCAACGTGAGCTGGGACTACTGTGGGACCTGCATGGTGGGGGGGGGGGGCTCCTCCTGGTGTAATCATCTGCCCTCTACACTGCTTTGCACTGTCTAAAGGTTTCCTCTGACTTTGAACTGCCCTGCCTTGGCCTGCCTGTTCTCAGGTAGGCATAAGACTTGGGGCTGCCTGATGGGCACTGGGCTCTGGGAGGGTCACTTTTCTCTCATCCCAACCTCTTGATTATAAAATAGGTTGGTTTGAATATTTTCTAGAATCCTTCTAACTTGAAGTTGCAATGGCCAACAGGCACGTGCATTCTAAATGCTGCTTGTACACACATCTCTATGCTACATAGTTGTTATCCTTCTAAGCATAACATATTGACTCTGTCAATGCTACTTTTGATTCTACTGGATATAACCTTTGTGAAGACAGTATTTGATACTTAGAATACTTTCTGAATCAAAAACTAAAACGATTCCTCCTCTGGGGCCCTACATACCAATATCCCCCGACTCTACTGGCATGGCCACGGACTGACAGTGTCTTCGGCACTGGAAGGGTGGGATGAGCTGCAGCATGGCTTCCCCACTGCCCACGGTAAACAGGTCGTGCACTTTATGCATCTGGAACAAAGAAAAGGGAAAGGAAGAAAAAGAGAACAAAAGTGAAGCCCAGGGTGACTAGCACACAGAGCCCTTACAGTGGCTTGAGTTTCCAGCAGTCCAAGCAATGAGAAAGTCATGACAAGAACAAATTTCATAATTTTGCCTAAAAAACTAAACAAACTAATTTTTCCTAAGCATGGCACTTCCTGGTACTGAGACCAGGGTAAAATCTCTCCTAAGGTTTTTAAAAAGATATTTATTTTTATTTATGTGTGTGTGTGTCGTGTGAATGTGTGCCATGCATGTGTGTGTCCGCATGTGCATGTGTACATACACCCTTGGAGGTCAGAAGAGGACAGCTGATCCCTTGTAGCTGGAGTCACAGATGATTGTGGGTTGGGAACCAAACTTGGGTCCTCTGCAAGAGCAGCCAGTGCTTTTGACCGCTGGGCCATCTCTCCAGCCTTCCTCCGGGCTCTTCTAAAGAGGAGCTATGTGATTTACTGGGCAACACCCTCAGTGAGGCCTGAGAGTAGATACTGAATAGGCTTCGGGATTTGCAACAATTTTGAGCCAGAGCTTCAACGCAAAGTACCTCACTGTGATGGTTCTTTTTCCCCTTCCTCCCCTTCCTTGTGCTGGGGACTGAACAGTGCCACATGTGAGACAAGTGCTCCATCATGGAGCTACATCCCCAACTTTGCCCACTGCAGTCTTACAGAAAATGGTTCTAGTAGGGGCCAATACATGCCTAATCCACAGTCTACTGAAGATCTGGATTAATCTGGATTTTTTTGGTAAATAGGTGATTTGATTCTCTGGACTGCATCCTGGCTTTGTCATAACCACCTGGGGCCTCTAGAGCCTTGAGTTTTGACTCCATCTCCCCTTTCCCTAACTCTGGTCATGATTCTGTTTCCAAGACAACACTAGAGCCATTTTGCTGGCTACCATGGTAACAGGAGGCCTATTATCTTAAGCTGGTACAAACAATAGCAGAAACTCTGACATCTGGAGTCTTGAAAATAATCTCAGAAGACCAAAACCAAGTAGATGCAGCCCTTGTTCATAGGCCTCAGAGGGTTGGGTCACCCGCCTCCATGCCCAGGATGGAAGAGAGAACAAAGAAGGCCAACCTTAGGCAAAACTGAGGAGTGGGGAAGTAGGGCCCACATCTCTTCCCCCACTGCCACTTAGTGACAAGACCCTACCTCTTCTCTTCTATCCCAACACTGCCCTAGGATGCTGGGCCTGATTTCACCAGGGCCTAGGGATGGGGAGGGATAGCAGGGTGGAGAAGCAAGACTGAGAGGAAGGAAGCACTGGGGCCAGGGTGGGGAGACAAGTGCTAAGAAACCAGGCTCTCAGGAATTCTGCCTTTGGGGCAACTCCCCTTCTCAAAACACCCTTGAGAGCCACAACAAGACTCTGACAAGCATCTGGGTGACTGCATTCACTCCTCCAGCTGGGTTCTGTAAGGTGCTGAAACTAATTTCAATACTCAAGTGGGAAAATCAAGATTAAAGTCCCTCACCCTGAATTATATCATAATTATGAAGATGAAATCAGATTGGGGCCCTGAGGACACAGCAAGATAAACTCAGAGGCTGGAGCCCAGCCCTTCCCCACTGCTGGCAGACAATTCTTACTTCTAGACAAAGTGATTGTTTTTATAGGCTTTTAAATTCCTTCAAGACAATTCAGCAAGTTTGGAACAAATAGAGTATCAAGAGGTTGGAGACACAACCCAGAGTTGGTAGAGAAATCAGTGTTTGAGAAATTCAAATTTATTTTTGTCCAAAGGAAAATTTATCCCTTTGATCCTTAATCAAAATTCAGAAACCCTCCTTAGGAATGGGATTCAGCAAAGAGCAATACAGATGAAAGTAAATAAAAGTCAAATACAGATGTCTCTCCCCATCCTCTGGCCCTGGACCACAGTGGGAATGGATGGAATAAGCTGTCTTTCCAGCCCAGCTGGGCCGTCTGCCTCTGCCATGTGCCTGTCAGATGCTCTCAGGATCCCAAACTTTTGCCTTTCCAATTCTCTGCCTTGAATATCCTATTGGTGTGCAAAATTCCGCAAGTCCCCCTATCCACTGCTCTGTGTCCTTGGGCAAACTATTTCTCAGGCTTCTTTTTCTTATTTACAAAAGGGAAAAGGGGACTGTTCGTCACATCTATTCATCTGCAGCCTGTTACTTTCTGACAAGGTAGAGAAGTAGGTGAACTGCCTGTTCAGGTTCCTTTGGGTTTTTGTTCCACTCCCTTTAATGTGGAAAGTAGCTTGTCCCCAAAACAAATGGCAGGACACAGATTGGAAGGAAGAGGGGCTTCTGGGAGCACACCTTCAGATGAGAGCATGCACGCAGCAGTGGGGAGACCTTCAGACTAAGTGGGTGTTCCTCAGGTCACTCTCAGTCCACATGCTGAGAAGGCCTTGATCACCTCAGTCCACATACTACAAGAGGAAATTTCTAAAGCCAAGTCCTCTCCAAATGTCCTACCTTACTGCCCACCACAGGTTCCGGGTGAAGAAGGAAGCACTTGTTTAAGGAGGCATCTTTTGGAAATGGAAGTTGGTTAAAAACAGGAAAAAGGTCCCGTAGAATTTGTGATCTGTTCGGAGGCCTTCTCCTAGAAGAGCGTGAAACAGAAACGAGTCACTAGCAGGTAGGCTAGCCCATCTGCAGAGGAACAGAGCACTGAGCAGGGATGGGCTAGCATGGGAGACAGCTGGGGCACAGGGAAAACATCAGCACCTGGCTTCTTTGTTGGGGACATTAAAAAACTATGTGTGCTGGGCGTGGTGGCATATGCCTTTAATCCCAGCACTTGGAAGGCAGAGGCAGGCGGATCTCTATGAGTTTGAGGCCAGCTTGGTCTCCATGGTGAATCCAGGATAGCTGTGGCTACAGGGAGACCCTGTCTCAAAAGGAACAACAACAACAAAGACCCAAAAAACCAAAAGAACAACAACAAAAAAACACCCAAACAAAAAAACCATGTGTATGTGTGTGTGTGTGTGTGCGCGTGCCTTCAGAGGTCAGGAGAGGGCAAAGGATCCCTGAGAGCTAGTTACAGGTGGCTATGAGCTGCCTGCTATGGATGCTGAACTCTGGTCCTCTGGAAGAGCAGTATGCACTCTTTTTGGGGGGGTCGTTTTTTGTTTTTCTTTTTGGTCTTTCTGAGACAGCGTCTCCCTGTAGCCCCAGCTGGCCTGGAACTCACTACGTAGACCAGGCTGGTCTCGAACTCAGAGATCCGCCTGCCTCTGACTTCCAGAATGCTGGGATTAAAGGCATGTGTCAACATGCCTGGCACAGTATGCACTCTTAACCACTGAATCATCTCTCTGGCCTGTTTTGTCTTTTTGAGACAGGGTTTCATGGAGCCTAGGCTAGCCTCCTACTTGCTAGGTGGCTAGGATGACCCTGAAATGTTCCTCCTGCCTTCTCAGCTCAGGTGCTGGGATTACCTGCATTCACCACCACACCCAGAAGGACCATGTCTTAAATATTAGGTTCAAGAAGAAGAGTTGTGTGGAATCAGTGAACTAAAACGTACGGGAGCCCAGATAAACCCTATAGTACGATCTGTGTATGTGGGTGGAATATTTAGAAGTTCTAGCTATGACAATGTACAGAAGAAATAAAGAACCCATTCTTCCATCTTGGAAAAGAGTGTAGCCTCCTTTTCAAGCAACAGCAGGCTGGTTATGGAAAGGAGAGCAGGCGAGGAGGAGGACAGGAAGCGCCAGTCTCCCCTTCAGGCAGAGTGGGCACAGGACCTGTTAACATGGACGCTCTGACACGTAAGTGACAAGTGACAGCACAGCAGGGAGTGGTGTTTGTAGGCAAGAGTGATGACTTGAGTTTGATCTCTGAATCCCACCAAGTAGCAACAGATGTCCTGAGAAGTGTCCTCTGACTTCACAATTACATGCACACATACACGCAGACACACATACACAGACACATAAATAAAATGAGTTTTTTTAAACGGGGCTGGAAAGATGACTTGGCAGTACTTACACTGCATTTGCAAAGGATCTAAGTTTGGTTCCTAGCAGCCACATCAAGAGGCTCACTTAAAACTCCAGCTCCAAGGCATCTAATGCCTCTGATCTCCATGGACACCTATACTCATGTGCACAGACCCCTGCCCCCTCACACACACACATACATGTTAAAAAAGGGACTGGAGAGATGGCTCAGCAGTTAAGAGAATTTGCAGCTCTTGCAGAAGATCTGGGTTTGGTTCCCAGCACTCACATGGTGGTTCACAACTGTCTGTAACCCTAGTTCCAGGAGATCTGGTGCCCTCTTTTAGCCTCTGTGGGCATTGCATGCATGTGGTACACACAAACATATACACACACATCAAAATAAAAATCTTTTAAAGGAAAGCTGAAGAAATGGCTCAACATATAAAGGCACTTGCCCCTAAGTCTGATAACCTGAGTTCAGTCCCCAAGACCCACATGGTAGATAACTGACTCCCAAACAGGTGCCATGCACACATAGACACACAGACACACACGTAATTTTAAAAATGAAAAAAGCTGAAGGCGTTAAGAAATTATGCAACACAGACGGAGACAGAGAGAGGGCTCAGTGAATAAAGGCACTTGCTGCCAAATCTGACAACTTCAGTTTGATCCCCAGGCTCCACATGGTGAAAGGAGAGAACTAATCCTACAAATTGTTCTCTGACCTCCACATATATGTTGTGGCACACACACAATAAATAAATGAAATAAAATTTAAATGTAAAAAGAATTTTAGAAAGAAACCATCTGGGGCAGGAGAGATGGCTCAGTGGTTAAGAATACTAGTTGTTCTTGCTGAAGTCCTGGGTTCAAATCCCAGCACCCACATGGCAGCTAACAACTGTCTATAACTCCAGTTCCAGGGGATCCAACAGCCTCTTCTGTCCTCTGCAGGAATTCCATGACACAGGTGCACTTACCTACATGCAGGCAATACACACATACACTTAAAATAAAAATAATAAAGTATTTTTTTGAAAAAAGAAATCATCCAACACAAAACCTGGAAAAGCAGTTTTCCTCTGAATCAGTTCTATGTGGAAGTTGGCTCTTCCTTTCTTGCCAGAAGGCAGCCTTAACCCTAAGGAATGGTCCATGTTTTCTGCAGGACATAAGAAGGTACTAGAAAACAAACAGGTTCCAATCCTGGTTGAGTGAGCATGGGCAAGTGACTTCACTTCTGATTCCCATTCTTCTGATCTGAATAAATCAATAAAGTGTCAGTAATTCCTACTTTCCAAGAGTTGTTCTGAGTGCCACTAGTAAGCACGGACAGGCTGCCTTGCACAGCCAAGCACAAGATACAGTTCTATCTTCCATGCTTTCTCTCCAGCCCTCAACACTCAAGACCTATTCTCCATAAGCATAAGTGCTAAATACACACATAAAAACTAGCCATGGCTCTGTTAAGCATCTGGATGCTTCCCAGGGTGGTGTCCTTTCTTTGGTCATCCCCCTCCCCTCATGGCTGGTTGAGCAGTGAGCTCCCGTTCTTGACTTGAAGCTGTGCTGAGGCACACACACTGTTCTGGTGTGCCAAGGGCTCAGTGGTGGCTCTTACTGCTTTGACACCCGCTTTTCCCCATACAAGTGATGCATCCTTTTGCACTCACCATGGATAAGGAAACGGGAACCACCTCTCAGGAAAGCAACGCCACCACTTAGTGAAAACGCCCTCAGTGAAGCCCTCTGTTGCTTCAGGGTACTGGCACAAGAAATGCTGAATCTCTTCAGACAGCAGAGGCTGTCCTGTCTTGGTGACACAGAAAAACAAAATCATAGTTATCACCAACTTTGTAGGGCCTGATGCAGCCTTTATATGGGTAGGTAATCTGTGGAAGAACCAGGCTTTTTGCCTACCTTGATCACCAGAGGTCGGAGTCTCTCGAAGTTCTTTGGGGTGTCCTCTGGGAGCGTTACCTTGAGGGGTAATATCTGAGCACAGCCAGTGCAGTTGGCAGGGATGGGCTCCGACTCATTCTGCTCACAGTCATTTGACAACCAGGGGTCAAAGTCTGAGAAAAGAAGGGACATGGAGAAAGCAGACAGGTTCAGAAGAACGGCTGGTAACCCAGGAATGGAAGAATACATGAGAGCTATCATAGTTTTCCACAGTCAACAGTGATCAGCACTGGACATGTCTAAGGAGGGAGAGGGCCCAGAGGACAGGGGCTTTGGGAAGGGGAAGTACTTTTCTCTAAACACTTCTCTAGCTTTTGTGTATACCTATTTTCTAAATCAAATCAATAAAGCATAACAGTTGGAAAAAACATTCAGCAGTATAGTTCTCTTGTTTTCTAACCCAGACCCAGCATATCAGAATGTCTATAGCACTGGGGCGGGGCAGGTGGAGAGGGTGGTCCCACAGCACTGAGGGATCCTGATGCATATCTTCCCATGCATGGTGTGGGCTTAGGCCCTAGGTTTCTATACATGGCTGTGTGGGGACCCGGGGTGGTTCTTAGAGAAGAGTGAGGTAAGGGCACGGAAGGCAGGAGGGATGCAGAGACTTTCTCAGGTCACTTTTGGTGAACTCTGCCTATAAGTCAGCACTCCACCCGGACTCAAAGGGGATGGACTACTACTGACTGATGTTTCTATAAGGACGAGAGTTTGGTCAGAGAGCCCCACCTATACCCTGATATGAGTGTCAGCCAGCTGACCGACACTCCTGCATGGCCTGGCTTCTCTGAGGGGCCCAGTGTCTACAGCTCTCTGTTCTTCCCTGGTCCTTTTCTTCAGCAGGTCCTGTTTATAATTCTATTGCATTGTTTCTTGTTTACTTTCTGTCCTGTTTTGGGATTCATCTGTGTTCTCTAAATGCTATGTTTGTTACAGACTCTAATTTGAATCCAAAATGTTTCATAAGATGGTTTTGATTAAAACCCCATAGAAATCACTCAGGAGAAGGCCTAGAACAAAAGGCAAGAGACAACCAAATGTGGCTGAAACTAAGCTTTTTAAAACAATAAACACACCTGGAAAACTGTTAATCACTAAATATTTTCTGTTATAGGCAGTAAACATTGTGGTGGTTTGTTTGTTTATTTATTTATTTATTTATTTATTTATTTATTTGAGACAGGATTTTCCTGTAGCCCTAGCCAACCTAGAACTCACTATGTAGACCAGGCTGGCTTCAATCTCAGAGATCTGCATGTCTCTACTTCCCAAGTGCTGGGATTAAAGGTGTGCACCAGGCCAGGCCCACTGTGTTTTCTTTAAGGCAGTTGTGGCATGGAAGAAATCTTCACCAAGAGGGGCTACATTTGTGCATGCCCCGTCCTGACCATCAATCACCACACACAGCACCTGGTCTTCCTGGAGAGAGCTACCCTCCACCTCCTGGCCAGCGGGGGAGTCTCTGGCAGGTAATCCACCTTTCCTCTGAAGGTCCTTACCTCCACAAGGCTCTCCAGGAGCCTATAGGGCCACTTGTTTCCATGGCAGATCAAGATTGCCAAGTTGTGTATTTTTTTCTCCTCTGAAACATTTGAGATGTTCCTTTTTAAAGAGTAAATATGATGAATTCTTGTCAAAATACAAGCACTCCAGGCAATGGCTACACAGTGAAGCATAAACAATGAGGTTATGGTAATAAGGGATGGGAAAGAGGCTCCTGCATGGAGACCAGGCCCATGCCAGCCTTTCGCACGCTGCCCTGTGTAGTGTTCAGTGTGATCACCCAGTAGGCCTCCTTTCTCATCTCAGAAAACAAACCAAGTTAACCAAGTGAGAAGTTCCCGTGACTGACAGGGGAGTAGCAGGAAGGGCAGCAGAGATGGCTGGGTGGGGACAGAAGGGACAGAGCTGCAGAGGAAAATGTGATGAGGCCTTTGAGGGCTTGAAGCAACCTGACTCTGCTCTCCAGGAACTGTCAGAGCCTTGTTTCCTGATATACTGGGAAGCTGATTCTGGGTCGTAATTAGGGTATCCTGAAAGATACCAGCAGGAGGATGATCTGGTAATATCTTGGTTAGCCTTTGTTGGGTGATGAGCACTGTGATGAGAAGTCAATGCACTAGGAAGCTGGAGGCTTGGAAGTCTGGAAAGGAAGGAGTGTGGACTCCAAGAGCAATGAGGAAGGAACTGCTGGATCTAAGCCCCGCTCTGTCAATGTCTACTCAGGCTGACACCGCCCAAGGGGCCAGTATCTAGGGAGAGCCAGTGGGAGATGTGCAGACTTCTTATGGCATTCTTCTGCAGTAATGTCATTTTGCAGCTTGAATCAGTTAATTATGACAATCTTCCTAAGAGAGAAGAACGTGTTGGGACAAAAGGGGACCTTCCAATCTAGATAAATGCGTTGTGTGGCTAGCAGCAAGCCACTCGGAACCTCTTACTGCAACCTGGAGTTTTTGTTATTATTACCAGTTTGTTTGGGGAGTGCTAGGGATGGAGCCCCTTGTCTTCATCAGGGCTTCAAGCACGCTAAACAGGCACTCTACCATAGCTACAGCTCTGGTCCTGTAATTTGTTGAATTTTATTATGAGCTTTGGAGATAAGATTTCTAGGTGATACCTTGAAAAGCAAGCAGTTAAAGAAATCAAGAAAGAACCTTGGGAAAAAAGAGAAAAGCCTGAGGGTGCTGCTTCCTGAATGTCTGAGAAACACACTGAGGAAACGTTGGTACTGAGGAAATACTGGATTTAATGCAGTGAGAGAATACAAGACGAAATAGCTCAATGTGCGAAAATCAGTGCCTTCCTAGCCGAGGGTGGTGGCACACACCTGCAACCTAGCTACTTGGGGGTGGAGGCAGGAGGATTGTGAGTCTGAGGCTAGCCAAGGCTACATAGTAAGACCTCATCTCAAAACTAAAACTTAAAACATTTAAAAATCAATAGCTTTCTTTCTCTATTAAATCATAAAATCATTTCAGCTGAAAACTGAAATGCAAAAATGCTCTGGTCCATAATGGACAGCAATTGAGCGTAGCAAGGATAGAGCCCGAGCACTGCTGAGGGACATGAAGTCAGCCCTGAATAAAGACATACCATGTGCTATGATCTTGGACAGGAGGACTAAACACAGAGACATCAAGTGCAACCCCCCCAACCACACATGTACATTTGATATACCGCAGAACAAAGCACCTCATGTTTCTAATTTGTAGGGTGGGGCTGCTACAGTTCACCTAGAAGAGTAAATGTGTTGATCTGTAACAGGCATCCTGGGCAATGCAACCGAACTCCAAGTTCTGGTCACAGGTTGAAATCTAGGGGGATGCTGCTCTTGGGTGCAGGAACAGCATATATTAAGAGCTCCATGTGGCAGACACTGGGCACATGATGGGCCTCAGGGCCCTCAGTTCTGACTGCCCATGGGATATTGAAGGCTTTAGCCTGTCTTCACACTCAGCATGAGAAGGCAGGACTGAAGGGAAAGCATAGTTTTCTTTTCCTATGTACTTAGTTTTTAAAAAACTGCTTTATTGAGATAAAATTTAAATACTATAAAATCCACCTTCTTATAAAATACAAAATTTCACCAGAAGTTAAACTACTCATCCAATTTTAAATATTTCCTTTTTTTGAGCTGGAGAGATGGCTCAGCAGTTAAGAACACTGGTTGTTCTTGCAGAAGACCTGGGTTTGAATCCCAGCACCCACATGGAAGCTAACAATTGTCTGCAACTCCAGTTCTAGGGGATCCAACGGCCTCGTCTGTCCTCCCTGTGCATTGCATGACATGGGTACACTTACCCATGTATATGCAGGCAATACACTCATACACATAAAATAAAACTAATAAATAAAATATTAAAAATAAATATTTCCCTTTTAAAAAGATTTATTTTTAGGGGCTGGAGAGATGGCTCAGTAGTTAAGAGCACTGGCTGCTCTTGCAGATGACTACGGTTCAAATCCCATCACCCAATGGCTGCTAACAACCTTCTGTACCTCTAGTTCCAGGGGATCTGATGCCCTCTTCTGGCTTCTGGGGGTATTGCGTGACATGGGTGCACTTAGATGCATGCAGGCATAACACTCATACACATAAAATTTTTATGTACATATGTGAGTACCTGCACATATGTATGTGTACCATGTATGTTTCTGGTGCTCATGGAGGCCAGAACAGGGTGTTAAATCCCCCAGAGCTGAAGTTACTGATGGTTGTGAGCTTCCTGCTGTGGGTACTGGGAACTGAACTCAGTCCTTTAGAAGAACAGCAGAAGCACTTAACCACTGATCCATCTCTCTAGTCCCCACTCATTCATTTTTTAAATGTGCAACTCAGTGGACTTTTTTAGTATATTCAGTTGTATGCACCCATCATTATAACTGAATTTTAAAATGTTTTCATCCAGCATAACACATATGCGTAATCCCGGCATTTGAGATGGAAGTAGGATGATCAGAAGTTTAAGGTCATCCTCTCCTACATAGTGTGTGAGGTTAGTCTGTCTCAAAAACTGAAGAAAAAAATTACACATATATATGTATATATGTAATTTTTTTCACCCCCCCAAAGAAATCCTATATCCCTTAGCAGCCATCCTAGTGCTTGTCTCAGCCCTCACCAACTACTAGTCTATCTTTGGTTTCTATGGTTTGGTGCTTTGATATTCCACATAATGGAATCATACAGTCTATGGACTTATTTTGCATAGGGTTTTCTCGGCTCACCTCTGCTGCAGTGTGCATCAGTGCTTTGTTCTGCCATTACTGACAAGTGATGTTCTACTGTGTGTGCAGTCTATGTTGTTTAGGCATTCATCGACGGATGGATATTTAGGCTGTTTCTACTTAGGGTTAGTCTAATTATTCTACAAACACTTGTGCACAAGTTTTTGTGTGGATCATGTGGATCATGTTTTCAGGCCTCTTGAGTATATTCCTGAGTGTAATTAGTAGGTCATAAACTCTAGGCCAGCTTTAAAAAAAAGTATTTACCTATTATGTGTGTGTGTATGTGTGTTTGGTGCAAGTGTGGAGGTAAGAGGACAACTGGTTCTCTCCTTCCACCTTACGTGGGTTCCAAACTTGGGTAGTCAAGCTTGCAGCAAAC